TGTCCCACGATTACATTAAGTGGTTACCCCCTCGCTTATTCGCATCTTCGAAACGATCTTAATAATGATGAATAACATATTAAAATCTGTAAATAATTAATTCCTATTGCGAAAAATATTACCTCGGCCGGGAGTCGAACCCGGATCTCTTGCATACCGTGCAAGCGTCCTAAGCCTTTAGACTACCGAGGCAGTTTGTGTTATCACATATACGGTCCTATTATATATTATATTCTCTAACCACCCGACATCTAAAAAAGAGGCACTATCATAGGATTAGTAGATACGGTTCTGTTGCTGTCGGATGAAAAATATCACATAAATAATTTAAAATCGGTGATAATGATTTTACTCGAGAACGACTATCCACTAGATTTTATTTTTGATATGATCAATAATAGAATTCAAGGAGAATCATTTAAGGAGAAAAACAGCTTCAAAAGAATCGTTTAATATTGTTAATTCACTGGAACAAACAGCATGGTTTACGGTACCATTCATACCATCGATCACAGAGAAATTTAATAGATTCAATAGTAATGACATAAAAGTATCGTTTTACAGCACAAATAAAAAATGAGAAAATTTATTAAAGCTCAGAAAGATCCTTGCCCACATTTTAATAAAAATAATGTAGTATATCAAATTAATTGTAAAGACTGTGATGCGTCTTATGTTGGTCAAATGGTAAGACAACTTAAAACGAGAATCAAAGAACATCGTAGTCATATAAACTGGAAGACTTCCAATCATTCGGTAATAACTGAACATAGAGAACAACTGAACAACTGAACATAATTTTTTTAGATGTCGGGTGGTTAGAGAAATAATTAAGATATCTCCCAGAATAGCTTTGTTTACGATACCAATCATTGTAAAGAATCGTCAACTTTTTCAATGGTGACATCTAAAAAACTCAAACAATAATAAACAATATATAACTTTGTATTACCGATACTGCATGAATATTGTTAATCTTCGTTTAGTCGGCGCTTGTTTTTTATAACGTTGACATGTGATTAATTTGATCATCTTTGCTTTCTTGATTATACAAGTGACTCATTTTATATAAAAGAATGTATTTAACACTTATTGGACACACGATGTAACTTTTTATCATACATGTGACTTCTCCGGTGAGTTTTATTTTGATTGACGATTGGAAGGAAAAATTTATTTAGATTGTTCTCAATTTTCTTTATATTAATTTTCACAGTTGAATTGAAATTTTAACATTCAGTCGATCAGCTGTATGGGAACGATTTCGGTTTGTCAACGTACGATTCATCGGAGATTGTTAACCGAACTTTTCTTAACCTTGGCTTTATAATTTTTATTCGTCCATTGTGGTTTGCGACTATAATTATACGAAATCTGAAGATGGTTCGATCAAGAAGCCGAAACATGTAATGGAATTATTGTTAGACCAACGAGATATATTATTGTTATACCATTGAAACATTTGTAAGAATTTTATCGAGGAATTTTATCACTATTATGTCTATATTTTATATTTAAGTATTTTTGATTATTGATTCTTATATGCCCTTTATTTAGATTTTTATTTTTATGTTTTAACAAGAGTCTTTGTATACAATTATTTTTAAATATATATTTAATATTATTACTTTGTCTTTAGCCGCTTTAAAATAATGATTTGGTAGCTTCAAAAATAAAATAAAATTTATTTATAATAACAATATCAAGAATATACAGGGCACTTAAGAGTCAAATATAGAGAAAATTATTTAAAACATAAAAACTCAAACCAGAAGTATATTTAATATAATATTCTATAAATAATTATAAGTTCTATATATATATATATATATTTTTTTTATTACCTACATGTTTCGGTCTCACGATTGAGCCATCTTCAGATATGATAGTCGTATATGAACAGGTGATAGTCGTATATTCTAAGTAGCAGATGTTAAGTTTCAATAGAGATTGTGATCAAACCTATTTTGCTATGAAAAGCAAATAGGTTTAATCTCATCATTTTAAGACATCTTTTGAATGTCTTTTAAATTTGCGCGTTATTTTATATTTGAGGTTTTTATTGATTAACAGAAATTGCGGATCTGCGCAATCGCCAACGCATGCGTATGTGTGACGATTTTAGTTTGCTCCCGCATCACTTCGGAAGGCTGACATTGTCGCTTTACTCACTTTTCACGATTATTCTAGTTGCATGTGTATTACGTCGTCGTGGATTAATCATC